GTGTAGATGTAGTAAGATATGCAAAAGAAAAATCTGTTACATTGACAAATTTTGTTTAAATCGAAACAAAAACCAAGTAGATGATTGCGTTGTGCAGGTATCAACCTGAGATATTATTTCAACTGAAATAGGTATTTTGGAGTATAAAAGATATCTAATTGAAATATACAGGGCATAAAAACCTACTGAATCATTTGCTGAATACCTCCTTTATTAACTGTTACTTTTTTCTCTGTAAACAGGTTGCTTTCAGAAGATGGAAAGGGCCCATCAGTCCTTTGCTCAGAGCAGACAGAAGCTGAAGGCTCCTCCTTCTCCAAAGGCTATCTGCAAGCCTTGGACAGCCAAGGGAACCCCCTCTGCCTCAGCTGCCAACAGCCAACAGCTCAGCTCGACCCAGGCTGCCAGGCCCGTGCCTGGGACACGCGGTTCTGCTCCCACGCCTGCCAGGAGGACTTCTCAATTCGCTCTAGTCAGAGCTACCTTAGGACTAAAGTGTTTGAAATTGAACATGGTGTTTGCCAGTTTTGTAAGCAAAACGCCCAGGAGCTTTATCTCAGCATCAGAGACGCACCCAAGAGTCAGCGTAAGAAGCTTCTGGAGAGTTCTTGGATGTCTCACCTTCCACTTGGGCAGGTAACAATACTGAATTTTAAGCAGTAACAGCTAATCTGTGTATTCCTGTAGCAGATAGTTCAGATAAATCCAAAATGTTTTTACAGGCTGGAGATTGAAGGTTAACCTAGCACCAAGAACAGAATAAGAAAAACCAAAATCTTAAACATAAAAAATGGCAATGCCTTCTAACACATTTTTCATTGCTGAAAGGCACAGGCATCAGAATTCAGATTCCTTAGGGATGGGAATATTGCAGCCAGGTTTACGTGAAATGCGCTTTGGTTCATAACCATAACATTTGTTAACAATTTAAGAATGGATGTAGTCTATTAGTATGAGGTTATTCCTACTTTGCAGAATGTTTGGTAGGAGCTTAGCAAAAGCCACTTCTCACAGCTCCTCCCAGTTATTACCTCAAAATGCATTTCAGACTACTGCCATTCTTCCATGGTTGTGATTGCTGCTTCACGGGCTTGAGGGCTGTGGAACAGGGAGGGAGAACATTCCTACATAAAGTGGTGTTTCTGTTCACCAACTAAAATGTTTCTATTCACCAACTGAAACTTCTGCTGCAAAGTTGAAATTCTGCTTCAGACATTACTGGTTCTAAATTGTTTAAACTTTGCAGACATCCACTGAAACTTACACAAGAAAAAGTAATTTACTGTCACTTCTTGTACGCGTGAGATCAGTTTCACTGCTTGCAGCTTTTTAAAATAAGGTGGTGCGCATGTAACAGTCTGAGATGAGAAGCCTTGTGGAGTGAAGGTTTCTTACAGCCTGCTCAGGGAACAGCACTCTGTGGTGTGTTTGTTAGCTTTTTGAAAGCTGATATAGGGCTTTATCTCCCAAGGTTTCTCAGTGCTCCTTATTACACTTCCCACTGTCTCCATCAAAAACTTAAATGACAAACACCTTGTTAGAGTCCGCTTCTTTAAGCTGTTGTGCATTTTTACTTGTGTATATTTGTTTTTAATATTGGCATTTGATGATAAAATGGCATTGAAGATAACTTACTGTATCAATCAAGAAAATTGAACCTTTCATTCTGTTTTTCCTTGATCCATTGTGATTACTGTGAAAATACGCCAACTGAATTTACAGTTATTTTGCTTGTCCAGTGGGAGTAACAAAAACAACACCTACTTTCTTTCTCTTGATGAAAACTATGAATAGCTACTTCCCTGAATTGTTTTCTTGTTCTTATGGTAGAACACAGAAGAAATATCTAATACTTCCAGTGTCATGTCCTTTGTTTACTGCAGTTGAATGAAATTATAACGAACCCGACGGAAGGCCAGTTCTGGCAGGTAGACCACATCAAGCCCGTTTACAGTGGAGGGGGACAGTGCTCCCTGGAAAACCTTCAAACCCTGTGCACGGCCTGCCACCGAGAGGTCAGTATGGCACGGGCAGAAATCCTCACCCTCTCACCGGGAAATGTGATTAACTGTTACGGGTGGCATTTACCACCCCTCACAGCCCCTGTGCTCCCAGCCTCTCCATCCGGCCCAGTGCAGATGAAAGGTTGCATTAAACTGTTACAACAGTTTCCTCAAGATTTGGGAACATGTCACCTTAATAAACATTTTCATTTTATTATGTTGCCTACTGGAAAATTAGACTAAAGTGTAACTGTGGGCTAATGCTTTCGAAACATCGAGCACACTGTTGCCAAGTAACACCACTTACTGAACAGACCTCTCTTTCTCTTTTGCAGAGGACCGCAAAACAGGCCAAGGAAAGGAGCCAGATGAAGAGACGTTCTCTAGCTACAAAGTATGGCTGTGATATCACAAAATTTTTTGTGAAGATGTAAAATGCAAAATATATTCAGTTACATTATAACTCAAAAACCAGTATAGTTACACAGTTTTCCTCATGCACTGATTTAAAAGAAAAAAATCATCTTTGTAGTCTATCATGCTGTTGGTAGAGGGAAGAAGATACAGATTTGAACCAAGACATCATTTATTACACTGATTGTCAGACAGTCTTGAGTGAGAGCATCCAAGGGACTTAATCATGGTTATATTTTTATGACCCTGTGGTTTAAAGCTAGATTTCTGTGTGTAACCTTAATGCAATTTTGAAGCATCAGTATTTTCCTATTACAGTGCAGTTAGAGCTGCAAGAATTTGAGGAAGTTCTGTTGGGATGTCCATTTAGTCTTACAGGGGTCAGTTGTACTGGGGACATTATGGACCAAGCAGATATCATAGCTTAAATTCTTTTCTTTGGTCACATACCAAAATTACTGGAGAAAATACAGGCTCTGACATCTGTTATGACAAAAATAGCATAAGTGAGTGATTTGTCTTTTCTAAAACTGTCTCATACCTACAAAACATATTAATAGCAGCCTTGGGAAGACTCGGCCTACTTTGGCACTGGGCCTGACTTATAAGACATTGGCACTTAGAAATTATGTCTGTTGAAATCTGTTTTTACTTAAACCAGCTTGTATAAATATTACCAGTTATCTCATCACATATAATTTCTGCCCAATGGTCCAGTCACATTCCCTTTAACATAAGTGCAGAGATGCTGGTTCTTTTGGACTGTTTATGTGGCTTTGTTTACGGTTACTTCAAATAAATACACTTCTCTTTTTCCTGGTGCTTTTTTTTATGCTTTGTCAGTCTTGCTCCCACCCCTTGAATGCCATAGGGCAAGAGTAAGTTCATAGAACACATCTGTTACGACACAAACATCTTTAGGCACCTGCCTGACCACATGTTAGTGTGTATGTGTTCTCTGAGGATGATTAAAGGAACCATCTCTTCAGCAGTTTAAAAGACCAAGTCATAACAGCCCTGTAACTAAATGAGGGATTTTCAAGTCTCTACAGCCTTTACAGGAGGACACATTTTAATGTAAAATTTCACAAAAGATAGCATGTCAGGAGAGGAACAAACACAGAGTATCAGAGAGGAAGCTGAAGTTAAAGATTACTTAGAAGCTAGACACTTAAACAGCAGCTAGCTTGGTCTCTGTCTTTCTCAGCCCTTTTATCAGAGGAATTTGCCTCAGGTAGAACACACAAAGCCGTGACACAACACAAACATTCCATGACAAGATTTTTCTCTGAAGAAAATTAACTCTTCTTTATCCTGAAAAATGTATTTCTATTTGATACAGCTTTATCTGAGCAAAACACTCTAGCCCCTGGCCACTATCCCCACAAAGAAGTTTCAGGCAATACCTGGGCCCCTACTATTTGGGGCAGAACTTAACTTTCTCTGCTTAATGTAGTCACAGCCAAACAATGATGTTTCTAGGTCAAATCATGCAAGGCTGACATTTAAAAAGTATTTTGACAAAACCATTGTTAGTACCCAAAGAAGTCTGAAAGCCAATAATAAGTTCAGATTTATTGAATAATGTCAACATACTTGTAGCTGTTTTTACATTTCATAACGTAACACTGATCTTTTGCTGACTCTTATTAAAACACACAAAGATTGCTGTAAAGCAACGTTGGCACATACACACTGTAGTGTTTGCATGATATTCGGGGGGCTAGTTTGCAGCAGGGGATAGAGTCTCATCCTACGAGAGCAAACAGCCCGTAGACATTTGAACGGTCTCCGTAAATACCAGCACTTGCTTACAGTGACACACCTCTGTCAGTGTCATTTACCTACACCTTGGGCCCTTGCACACAGGGACAGATGCAAAGTATCCAAAGCTGCGAGTGATCCACTTCAGGCTCCCAGGCTTCCTCTCCAGTTACAGCCTCAATTAGATTTATTTCTGTCTGGGAGAAATGTTCAAGACAACATCTTTTTGGACAACTGCTGCAACGGTAGGAGAGTTTAGCATGAACTAGAACATACTGTATACTTTAAATAAAAATAACAATATTTTATAACTATTTGCAACTTGGTGATCAACAAAAAAATACTGGGCTCAATTTTATGATTAGCAATAAATACAAATTACTTATGTTTGCACATCGATTTTAAGTAGACTAATGTCACTTGATAAAGTCTGATTAAGAACTGTAAAGCAGCACGTTCTGCATGAATTTCAACATGAAGTATTTGCATACAGCCTATTCCTGTCCATTATTACACAAGCTAATGCAAAAAAAATAATAAGCTCCCTCTGGACAGAGAGGAGATTGCTAAACTTTCTTCCCCAGAGATCCAATTAAAACTACTTGTGAAGCCATTCCAAACCTCCAAGTTAGAGTTGCTGCAGGCATCCTTCGCGGCTGCCAGTTCAGCTCTGTCCTTGGGAACATGACGCCCCGTCACGAATGATGACCGTATTTTCTCCTCAGCCCCAGCCAGTCAATCTGTAACTGATAACTTCCCCGAAGGAAAATGAATAGCATCCTGCTTGTGACAACACACAAGATAACACAGCGGGTTATGTCAGAAGAACGTCGTATCTGCTGAAAAGGCACCAGCAAGTCGAAAATCTTCCTTGGTCAGCACGCTGTACATGCGCTGGGGCAGTGGTTTGGAGTATGGGGCAGGGCGGGGGACAGTTGTGCGCAAAATCACCTCGCGGCCCGTGGGCGGAGGGAAATCTGAAATGCTGCCTGCGTTGAGTCGTCGTTCCTCTGATGAGCCCGATCTCCTCAATTCTTCATCAAGTGGAGGCGCTGCAGAAACCTTAAATAAGAGCAGAGGTATTGTTACAGGGCAAGCTGTTTCTTAACATCAGGATTCAGAAAATATTTCATAAGAGGAACAGAGGAAGATTAGAAATGGTAAACACATCAAAAGGCTTTATGTGTACACAGAGCAAGACACTCATGGGATGTCGAGAAATAAACTGCGCAAAACCAAATGGAAGAACCTTCATGTGTGGATGGTGAGGCTCAGCCTAGATTAAGCTCCTGATTTTTTGACAGTGAGGGTTTTGACCAGACCAAATGCCTTCTCCAGCAGAGCTCTCTCCTCAGCTCTCTGTGGCTACCTGAGGCCAAAGCCAGCCTCCTTTTAAGAATACCCAGCACCACTACTGGAGCCCTGACAAAAAGTCACCTGCCTTTTCCAACTCAAAATACTGCTTTTGATACGTGCTTTCCATGGCCAGAGAGAGGCCATAAGCAGAGAAATCGACACTCAGTGCCTCAGAGCCAGTAAGCAGCAACACTAAAGTCAGAAAATATAAATATTTCAGCATCAGAAAATATCAATATTCACTTGAAAAAATGGTTTTTGTTTGGTTTGGTTTGGGTTTTGGTTTGTTTGGGTTTTTTTTAAAAGATTTCTCTCTCTTTTCACTACCTGTTAGGCTCTAAAAATCAAGTAAGTCTGTGAATGAGGAAAAACCATTCTGGAAACACAAAATTATATTTATGCATAATATGTGAACAACAGTACAAACTAAATCAGGCTGCTGTACTCTGTCTACCAAAAGGTTCGACTCTATGCAGCTAGGGAAGATGAGTGGGAAACGAGGGACAAAGTTGGTTACCTCATCAGAAGATTCAGTCAGCTTGGAAAGGGATGAGAAAAGAATCAGTGATGAAAGATAGAAACAAAGGCAAGTCAGAGGTGACTGACAAGAGGTTAGAAGGAGATTGTAGGTTTAAGAGACATCATGCACTCTACTTCCAAGAACATGCATTTGCTATCATAATTTTCCTGAGAAAACCTGACAATATAAAAACACATTTTACGCAGCTCATGGAGAGGAGTCCAGGTTCAAAAGGTAAGGAACAAGAAAGTCATTCAACTTCTATTTACCAAACAGCTCTCTACTGAAATAATTCATGGTAGGGGTTTTGGTAGCAAGTGAGCTCCTTTCCCACTAAGTCTTAATTAACAGTAACCAGCTACTAGTGGGAAGTATCTGTAACCTAGCTTTAGTAACTTACTGATGTTTCAAAAGAAACAAAACCCTGGAAATTTACATACATGTTTATCGAACATTAATGCTAGAAACTCTTACTCAGCTTTAAAAATACAATGCCTCAATATTAAAAGGCAAGTGCATACGCTTGCATACACTTACAGCGTACGATCGTGGGCTTTACAGGGAAGTCTGTAAGTGAGGCTGGTTGACGTGTTGAGATTTGCAACCAGATTTTCCCTAGAGACTAGAAGGATAAAATTAATGTTCCTATTTTCATTTCTCAGAATAACCATGGTCTGTTTTCAGAATGGTCCTTTTTACGCTGAGTTGCAAAATACAATTATTATAAAAGCACCCATATCTTTAAAGTCTTTGATACCCAATCACAGCATTTTTGCAACAATGATTTCCAAACAGAATTTCAGGCTCTAAGATGTCTGCAATACTATGCTACCTTATTATTACTACTGCAGTTAGATTTTAGTTAGACAATTTGATGCTATGAATAGGTGTAATTCTGACAGAAACTGAAGGCTGACTGCAGTCCAAGAAGTTTGGAATCAATACTTTAAGGCTAATTATTACAAAGACTGCTTAAGAGAAAAAGGGAATATTTATACCAATACAGGATGGGGAAGGGTTTCCAGAAAACAGATGCAACACTGGCAATAAGTAAACAATGCAGAGCTGTACTGGAAAAGAACTGAAACTCTTCCTAAGCACACTACTTTCCACACAAGAAATCTTAAGTATTCAAAGTATAAGCCTCAGTCTAAAGAGTTACTCCTCCTAAAAATATTTTATGTTATGCTGTGTTTCTCTACATTCCTATGGGAAACAATCTACACACCTGATTGTTCTTGCTGTAATGGTGCCTGTATTGTGTAACTTGAACAAAGCAGGAATTTGTGCCACAGTAGCATTACTGATGTTACCATTCAAAGTAAATCAAACATTAATGACACCTCTATCTTTTGACATCCCAGGTCACCTACTGTGCTTTCATCTTGCAAGGTTCTGTTATTGCCAAAATCATGTTGAACATCACAAAAAAAAAAAACCCTCAAGCACATTTATGACAATACATGCATATATGCAGACAAAATAAACTGGCATCATATGGTAAGTCATTTCCTCACACTGCTTAAATTAGAAATGTCTTCAAAGCAATCGAGAACTCTCTTACCCTCTGAGCATTCACGAACAGCTTGTGAATAATGCTACCAGCAGGTCCTCTTCCTGCACCAATAACTGATACTTCTGGCTGCTCCAGGAGACAGTTTACAAATCTGGTGGTAGAAATTATTCAAAAGGAAAAAGGAATGTTTAATTCTCGGCTGTATCTAGTCTGCTGATCTGAAACGAGAATTTTCTCCTGTGAGGAGGTCTCCACCTAGCACCATTTGCACACAGCGAGAATGGGCAGACACTCAAGAGATCTCCATTCTAGGAGCTTAAGGAAGAAAACCCTGACACTTCTCAGCATCCCACTCAAACACTATCATCACCTTTTCATCCCTTCCTTCTGCCCTAAAGACTAAACCCCCCTTAGCCTTCAGTTGTTCCCTCCTACTTGTTGCTCTTTCTTTCATGCTAATACAAGCAGCTGTTCTTCCACAGGTGATGTAAGTCAAAGCTAAGCTGAAGACAGCAGCCTCCCACGTAAGGTCAGGAAAGGCAGAATTATACAGGTGTTTGCATTGCAGCTCCAGCAGCAGGGCCACTTAACGCCTAGGTTGAAATTCAGCCTCCGAAAGGACTACTTCTCTCAATTAACTATAAATGGAACCCAGGCTCCTCATGCAGATGTATAAATCCAACATGAAAAGCCTTCATGGTGTTGGCCACACAGAATTAGTAACAACATGACAATTTTTTTGAGCACAAAGATATCACCTTGGTCAAACATCACTCCTCTGAACTCCCAACATGTACTACAAAAATGTCATCTCTCCCTCTCAGCACAGCAGCAAGAAGCTTAAGATTTTTTTTTTAACATTATGTATTAATCATCTTAAGCAATAAGTAAATAATCTCACAGCAAACAGTGGAGCAATGAAACGTGGCTCATGGCTTTTCATTCACATGGTTCCTCGGTAATATGTTTCAAATCAGTAAGGAGACTAGAATAAGAAAATGGAACTTTGAGGAGATATTTCACTCCCTATTAGTTATAGAAAATACTGAATTCCTAGTCCTAATTTTACCTTTCTTGTAAAAAAGTTCAATATACCTTTTACACACACAAAAAAAATTCACAAAATACCCAGTCCTGTCAAGACAAAAACAAATTCCATAAAATAAACTGTATCACATGTTTTCAAAGAGATGTTTACTCAGAGAAGCATTTTGGGTACCCATATAGGGTACACATAACATCTCTGGGTAGCCTAGGGACAGGGACACCTAATGTTTATAGCTACTAAATATGATTCCATAATATTTCTGTATTATCACCACTTCCATCTGTCTTAAATTTTGAAAATACAAAAAAAAGGCCATCAGAAGAAAAACAAAACAACACAGGGAAAAAAAAAATCATCAGTCACCTCTGTAGGTCCTCTTTCTCCTCCTCATTGTCACATTTCTCCACCCCAAATTTTGCTTTCAGAGACCTGGCCCTGGCGATGATAGCTTCCACACTCATAATCTGAGCAATGATTTCCTGCAGGAGTTTAATAACAGTGAACATTAAAAATATGGTATTTTAGCACATGAACAGTGTAAAAGCCTATTAAGTTTTCAGCCCCAGCCAGTACAAAAGCCTTACTTCCAACTTCTTGTCCTCTGGATTGGGGAACCGCAAAACTTTACTGGAATGGGATATTATCTGCTTAATAATCTTCTTAACTGAAGATATATCTTCTAGTGCTTCTATTAGGAGGAAAATAAACAAAGAAGTTGTAATTATTGCATCAGTGTCCACCCTAAAATATCTTAATAATTTATTAAACATTATTTACCTTCTTCCTTTATTTTGAGTACAGCTGCATGGATGACGCAAGGCAAGAGATGCCTCGCAAGATCAGCTGGTTTCTGAACTGCAAGGTAATGAAGCACCTATAACATTGGAAAATTAATACATTACAGATCAAAACTGCTTCCCAAAGATAAGGTTAACTATGAAAGAAGAGCACCTACATTGAAGAATTCACAAGAAGGGAGCACTGTTTTAAGACAGGACTCAATAGGTGGCTTTTATATTAATCCTGCTGTGATACCAATCAGCGATTGCTTACAGCCCTAACAGGTTAGAATGAAACTAAAAATAATTTTTAGGAACACTTTAGTTTTCTAACACATACATGCAGACAAAAATCTGTTTTTTACTAATAATTCAAAGAAGTACCTAAGTAACGCAGCTTATGACATTACATTCCACACACTAATTATTTTAGATACTCCAAACACACTGTTGTACAGCAGCAAGAATTTCTGATTAACCCCAAACCATGTACAAAAGAGTTTAATAACTCCCAAGAATACAGTGCAACGACATGTTAATGTTTAAATCTTGCAGGAGAAAGAAAGCTTTGTACAAGCATTACAGATCACATTATTGCTAGCCACAGAGCTTTTTACCTTCTCTGCCTCTCTAGTGTCATCGAAGAGTCGCTTCTGCCTCCGGGCTGGGATTGGTTTTGCTGTTTCCCAGGCCTCTACCCACATGTTGCTAGGAATCTTCATTCGGGCACTCAGCTCGCCCTTAATTACTACATTCCCCTTCTCATCAACCACTTCCTCCTCAATGTAATCCCGAGGGGAGTACCACCTCACAAAATCCTCCAGACAACATCCCGGATTAGCTGCCTGGAATGAAGAAGAGATAAAATTTGTGCCTGAAAAATCCTATAAAAACAGGATAACCTGGGTGGGAAGGCAGTACAGTTTAGTGGGTAGACCACAGGCTAGGAGCCAAAACTCAAGGAATTCTGTTCACCGTCAGCAAAGTGCACATTAGAAAAGAGACCTCGGAGGGTGAGGGGATAAAGCAAGTATAAACCAAGACAATGGCGGGGGAAAAAAATCACACACTATGAACAAAAACAAAGAAACCTTCCTCTTATCCTCCCGAAACAGTACATTCATCACTTATCTCAGGCAAACTCAAAGTTATACTGTTAAGTCAATCTTCCATCTGGTACTTGATACAAGCAATAAATACGAATTTTCACTAAATTTTTAATGTATAAGCTTATACCATTAAAGACTTAGATGAAAAACAGCCCAAGCCTAAAAGAATCACTAGGCTACATATGTATGCTTTCAGCACTGACTTTCTATCTTAACAATCCAGTAACAAAATTCACCTTTTCTTCTTCCTCTGAAAATGGAAAAAAAAAACATCTTCCCCAAACAAAAATCACTTCATTTTTCATAGATGTCAACACAGGTAAATACATCCATAGGTCTAGAACATAAAAGGAAACACAGCTTTCTACCCAACGTACCTACCAAAAGTGCACTTCCACTTCAAATTATGGTTCTATATTCTTACTTTGAGTTTTTAGATCACTTGCACGATAGAGATGAAACTGCTACATATAACTAATATGACATGTATCACTGCTAATCAACTGATATTTATGTGTCATAAATATTCTTTCTCTACAGTACATCTGTATCTTCTTACTGCAAAGTAACATTGCAAGAATTAAAAAACACGTATACGACAGAATGTCCAATCTTTTTATAGTTTTGAGATCCTTTGATGACAGCACTGCACGTGCTCTTAGCTCCCTCTGCAGAGCTCAGAAAAGAAATGGAAGAAATTACCCAGAACCACAGCTAGTCCTGTCCCAATCTGATGAACAGCTGTACAAGACTTCTAAATAGCAATGAAGAACAAGACATTTTCAATTATACACATAAATTACGTCCACCTCTCCAAAGTCCAAATACAGAATGGTGAACATGTTAATAGATTTTGTTTTCTTTACACCACCTTTACATGTTACCCATTTGGAGCCCGATTAAAGGTGCATTTTACAAAGCTAGACACAGTGGGAAGTACAGGTAAGAGAGAGACAATAAATGAAAGCTACAAGGTGGTGGGAGGGAAAGACACGTAATTTTGTTTCAGGACTTTGATGCTCAGTTTTCTTCTGACATCATTGTGCATGGGTTTGTCCAAGTTTTAATTCCCTATTTATCAACTGTATGTTTTGGGGTTTTTTTCCTCCCCACAGACATTGTGCAAATTTACTAGAATGCTACAGTATAACAGACTGGAGAGTCATAGACTGTGTAATGTTCTAAGAGTTTTATCAATACGTTTTCATTTTCAGCTTTAAACTATTCTGAAACTCTTTCGTTGAGGAAAAAAACCTCGTCATAAAAACTTCAAAATTGTTCACCATAAGCAAGAGGGACAGTTTAAGAAGCAAGCAGTCTCACAAAATTCTTCAAGTAGTATTACCTTAAAAGACTCCATATCTGAGAGCAAGCAGGCACTCTGCATGCGTGCCCGAAGATGAGCACCTTCCGCTGATGTTCCTAGTTTTGCCAGTACCTTAGACTGTTCCTCCAGCAAATCTTCCGTCATGGGTGCTGGTTCCTGCAACATGGAAAACTGTTTACAAATAGCCTCCGACACTCAGCCCTTATTAAGGAAGGAGGAGTGGAAAGCTCCCTGTCACCAAAAGTTTATTCTACTTTATCTTCACTCAAAGGAAATAACTATATTTCTGCTGGTTAAACTGTTTAGCCTAAAGCTGTGCATCCAAAGAAGACAGGAACAAAAAGAAATTAAAAAGAAAACAACCTGAGAATGAGGTAGCAATATAAGGAGATATTAAAATGACAAAATCCAGATGAAGTCCAAGAAATGTTTGACTGACACTATTTTGTTGAGATGGATGAAAGTCCACCTAAAGCAATGCAGAATTTTTGCCATTGATAACGTGAGCCCATTAATTGATAACATTTGCCAGACTACACTCTGCACATAACTTTTACCCATGCAAAGCAACATCCATTAAAAATAATTTTTCTCAAGTGAATGAAAAATACTGAAATCAGCCAGGCATGAAGAACACAAACTACTTCCTCTGACACCTCCTCTTGTTTAAAAAAGTTGTTCTGAGTGACATTTGGTAAGGAGACCCATTCTCAAATAAACTGAAGTCTTACATGCTCTTTGTGTTAACAGCCTCATCAAGTTTTAAAAATTGAAAACAAGGTCTTGGGCCAAAACCACTCAGCAATTTTAACAATAGATAAGGTTATAACCTGCAAACTACACACAATTTCACAGTCCTAGGTATGAGCCATATCTCATGAGTTGTACTGCAAATCTGACTCAGCTCTCACTACCTAACCTGTGTTATTGGAATGTAGAGAGGCTCTCCTGGATGCAGCAGCGTCAGCTTTCCATGTGGATGCAGACGACCTTCTGGTTTTAAGTTTACAGGCTCTTTGTTGCCTTCTTTTGCTCCTCCTTTCTTTCCATTTTCCTGTCCATTTCCTTTAAGATCTTCTGTGTCACTTAGACATTCAAAAAACTCCTCTTCACTGTCACTCCATGATTCCCAAGACTTGCCAAATTCTTTCTCCTTATCAGGGTTATCTCCAGAGTGGTCTGGTCCTTTTCCAGCATCACCAGAAGTACCACCAGGTGAACGATCAGACAGGGTTCCCCTTTTCCCCTCATCTCTTGCTTTCTTTCTTTCAATGCAACAATTTAACATCTAACAAGTTAAAGGAAAAAAAAATTGTTTAGCAATTACTTCTCTTATGGAAACACTGTCACAGAAAAACTTGGGAGAGTCATCAAAAAATCTCTTACAATTCCAAAAAAATATCAATTCCAACAAACTTGTTGCTATAACAAAGATTTCCCCAAGAAATTAAATCCAGACTCAAAACCACAAGTATAACTAAAACTACAATAACAATATAATAATTGCTACAATTTTTACAGTTTCCTTAGGAGAAAAGTTATTCTTAAATTTGGGATATTTACCTGAAGTTTCTGATGCAGTAAACAGCATCTCAGATCTGGAGGGCCATTAGCTAATCTAACAAAAGGTAGAAGTGTAACCATTATCAATTATAAAGTTGAATCTTTCACATGCATGTTGTCTTAAATCATACGAAAGCAAAAAATGGGGCAAACATCCACACTGAACCCACCCCCAGCATTTCAACAATGCAGCTCTTCTGTGATCTCAGAAGACAAGCTACTGACTTGAACAAGCCCAAAAGTTAAAATACATTGATTTCCTAGAGGTCATTTCTGAAACTGAGAGACCATTCCGACTAGCAGAGAATAGACACACCTGCATTTCACTGTCAATTTTCCATTTGGAAGTTAAAAGGGTAATTCTTTCCAAACAAAAATTAAGTACCTTTCACTTTACTTTAAAAATTGTAATGCTACAGTAGAGTGATCTCTATATAGTTCAACTTCCATTTTATCTGCAGGGCAAAACTAGCGAATAAAAGGCTAGTCCACCCCATTTTAGGGGAAAGAAAAGGGGAGAAGAGCAATATATTTGTGCTCTACATCAATACCTCATCTTGATAGAAACCTTCATTTGGTCTGCAACAAGCTCTACTGCACCAGACATAACCTGGAAGGGTTGGAATACTCGAGACAGCAGTAGCTGCCTGAAAAGGCTATTACACCAGCAGGAACTTGGAACAGCTCCCTTAGAAAAGTGGTAAAACTACACCACAAA